TGAACTTTTTTCAAATCAAAGTTGCATTCTTTAGCTGTTTAATCCTCAAAAAGTGCATGATATTATAATTTGATCTGATCAATTTGATTTACTTTTTCATTGCTGCCCTGATTGTGTTTATCCGTTTATATCCATGTATTCTCATTGTCTTCGGCCTCAAAAGATATTGGACTCTGTTTAGGAAAAAAAGTCTATGAAATTAAGTTGCTGGAATTGTTTTAGCTTCTTGTTGATGAATTCTGCTGTGTTTATATCAATTCAGCGCAAGTCTGTATTTCTAACATTGTTTATAGCACTGAAATCATCAAATAAAAGAGAATAAAACGTGTTGGTTGTTCATGCTTAGGTAACCAAAATGATATATCAAACTAAGGAAATTCTTCCCAGTGAACAAATCCAGACAAAAGATTTTGAAATTTGCTAATAGGTAGTTGCTTCTGTTTCGTTTCCTTTTTTAGCTGTTTCAAATAAACTCATCTTTTGAGGTTTTTTTTTTTGATAGATAACTCATCTTTTGAGGTTTTATTTTTTCGAACTAACCTTTACTTTGATACTATTGGAACAAAGGAACATTAACAGACGGAAAATCTGAATGAAACATAAGTAGAAACTGTTGTTGGTAATCTATTCCTTCTTTTGTTTTTAACTGTACCTTGTAAGGTCTTGAATTATGAGATGATATCAGGACAAAAAAAGATGAGGGGAGTCCCTTTTTTTTTACTTTGGTTTTGTTTCTTCCATCTACTTGGAGATTTAAGTGGTGCTAACTGTTCCAATGTTTGCTCTTGGTTTCTCAGTTGATTTCGTGATATTAGAATATTTATGTTAACATTTCTACAGGAGTTTAACTAGAGGAGTAATTATGCAAAAGGACAACGATTCTGGCGGCCCATCAACGCCTAGCAGTCTTACTAGCCGGCTACGCCGGCGCAAAGGCTCAAATGAGGTTGGTTATATTTTTTATGCGATTTTATGCATCATGCAGGTATGTCATTTTATGCTTTTCTCAAACACGTAAGATTGGCCAAATGGAGTTTGTTTTTAAGACTTGTTTGGTTCAACTAAGAATACAAAGTACTAACACTGGAAGAATCTGACCCTTACCACCTTTATGCTTGGAGATTTCATTTTAATTTTTCATTAATTTATCAAAGTAGAGCTTTGTTGTACATTGCAAGCTCGATCACATTGTAACTGTCAGTAGACCTATATTAGGTATTGGGAAATTTACCTTCCCGTCTGACTTAGCAAATGCTGAGGAATTTGTTCTTCTTCACTTGGTTACTAGGGAAACAACAGGTAAAGAACATGTGAAGAAGAGTATTTAAATGTTACTTCCCTTTTGATATTTTATCTTAACCTCAGGAATTTAGTTTTTATATTAGTGAATAGGAATTGCGAGGACTACAATTTTCTCCATTTACGTTTTCTTTCTTTCTTTGTGTTAAATTTGTATCCAAAAATATTCTTGACTTAAAATACCTCTTTTAAAAAAAAACAATAAATAAATTATATTTAGCCTCTGTTTGACACCCATTTTTTTCTCATTCTATTTATCTTTCTTCATTTCAACCACACATTCTATTAATAAAATAATATTACACATAAACCCAAAAATTCTCTTTACTTTTTAACCACACAATCTTCCATCAATCACTATTCCAAAAATTGTTTTTCAAACAAAATGGGTGTCAAACAAGGGCTAATATGCATGTGAGCTGGATAGGTCAATGAAGTTTTCAAC